ATCTATCTATCTATCTATCTATACAGGTGCTAGTGCCACCCCAGGCGGCATGGGGAGTAGGGATCTCTCTCCCCATTCTCCTTCCTCTTGATCTTGAACACCTCCGTTACGACCTGAATCGTAAACACAGAAGTTCCTCCTCACTTTCGAATGGAAAGTCATCGTGATTCATCATTCTTATATAGGTTACGGATAGGGTGAGTGGTTACTTCCACCTGGATGCCGGCAATCTTAATAGTTTGAGGATTTGTTTAGATTTGCTCATCGGCGCGTGCTTCTAAGAGAATGGTACCATTCCTCTGACGCACAACCGCGAGGAGTTTACCGAAACCGTCCTCAATGGCTCGTGCAAGACGAACCGCACTAGTACTTTTAAATGCTTTTCCTTCTTCCGTGCACGCCATCAAAAGGAAACGTGGCTTCTTGGGTTTATCTTCTTCCCTAAGGAAGACTCTACTCACATCCATCGTTTTCTCAAAGCATGGCCTCTTTCTTCCGGAAGAGGGCAGAGGGTTTGTTTTATGCTCCATAGAATTGAAGCGGATTCGCCTCCGTGCTCCCCACCCAGTATGGAGTCCAACAAGGGGACAGCCCACTGGGGTGCCAGTGTTGACACGAAGATAGAGGGGAGATGTGACAGCGCTGCCCCGCCGTGGATTCCCCCGCTCACCTTGGGGTTCAGTACAAGACCTAGTCCGAGCCGATTGATCGGAAGTGGGTTAGCTCCCGACTGCCAGCCTAGAAGAGTCCGAGGCCAAAGCTAGTGTGTTGAAAGCCAACAAGGAATGTTCCCCAAAGTAAAACACGTCCCCAGCTGCAAAGCAGGAAGTAGCGCACGGAGTGGTTGCAAAACAACAGGTCCTTCAACTGTAAGGACACACCTTCCCTCCGACTCGGGTCGACATGCACGCCAAACACATGGGTAGGCGTTCTGCATACAGGGGGGAGGGCAGTGAAATAGGGTAGAAGAAAAGAGACAGGATGTTATAAAAGGACGAGAATGAACGATGGGGAAGATCAAGATGATTGGTGAGAGGACTACTTGAGAGCCCTCCCTGCATCCGCCGTCAGGACGTGGACCGACCCACCTCGACACACAGAGAGGGAAGGAGAGAGACACACAGAGAGAGGGAGGGAGGGAGGGAGACACACACACAGAGGGAGGGAGGGAGGGAGACCACACACACAAGAGGGAAGGGAGGGAGACACCACACAGAGGAGGGAGGGAGACACACACACAGAGGGTGGGAGGGAGACACACACACAGAGGGGAGGGAGGGAGACACACCAGCAGAGGGAGGGAGGGAGACACACCCACAGAGGGGAGGGAGGGGAGACACACACACAAAGAGGGAGGGAGGAGACACACACCCAGAGGGAGGGAGGGAGAGCACACACAAGAGGGGGAAGGGAGAACACACACAGAGGGAGGGAGGGAGGACACACAACACAGAGGGAGGGAGGGAGAACACACCACACAGAGGGGAGGGAGGGAGACACCACACACCAGAGGGGAGGGAGGGAGACACACAAACGAGGGAGGGAGGGAAAACACACACACAAGAGGGGAGAGAGATTGAGACACACACAGAGGGAGGGAAGGGAGACACACACACAGAGGGAGGGAGGGAGACACACACACAGAGGGAGGGAGGGAGACACACAACACCAGAGGGAGGGAGGGAGACACACACACAGAGGGGAGGGAGGGAAGACACAACACAGAGGAGGGAGGGAGAACACACACAGAGGAGGGAGGGAGACACACACACAGAGGAGGGAGGGAGACACACACACAGAGGGAGGGAGGAGACCACAGCACCACAGAGGGAGGAGGGAGACCACACACACAGAGGGGAAGGGAGGGAGACACACACACAGAGGGGAGGGAGGGAGAACCCCACACAGAGGGCGGGAGGGAGACACACAGCACAGAGGGAGGGAGGAGGGAGACACAGACACAGAGGGAGGGAGACACACACAGAGAGGAGGGAGGGAGACACACACAGAGAGGGAGGAGGGAGAACAGAGAAGGGAGGGACGGAGACACACAGAGAGGGGGGACGAGAACACATCGAGAGGGAGGGACGGGGAGACACACAGAAGAGGGAGGGACGGAGGACACACAGAGAGGGAGGGACGGAGACACACAGAGAGGAGGGAGGGAGACCACACAGAGAGGGAGGGAGGGAAGACACACAGAGAGGGAGGGACGGGAGACACAGAGAGGGAGGGACGGAGACACACAGAGAGGGAAGGGACGGAGACACACAGAGAGGGAGGGACGGAGGACACACAGAGAGGGAGGGACGGAGACACACAAGAGAGGGAGGGACGGAGTACACAACAGAGAGGGAGGGACGGAAGACACACAGAGAGGAGGGACGGAGACACACAGAGACGGGAGGGACGGAGACCCCAGAGAGGGAGGGGACGGAAGACACAAGAGAGAGGAGGGACGGAGACCACACAGAGAGGGAGGGAGACAAGAGTTTTGCTTGTTCACTATATGAAGGAACATATTTATCCACTTCTTTTGTTACCAGGGCCCAACAATAATAATTACTGTCGAAAATTTCCAATTTTCCTACGCATTTTCTCTTCCTTTATTCTTCTTATGAAGCATGAAAAAGTAAATATGGCAATTTTCCGACAGAGATATATGGTAGTTTATGTGTAAGATAGAAATTGTCTATTATAATATTACATATTGCATAATTCTGAAAATTTCCAGTTCACCTCTATGATCAGGATGAGATCTCACTCCAGTTCCCTGCCAAGTGCCATCCATTGGCACTGGTAACTGATGATTCTGCAAGATACTTTGTGTCAAAGGGGTAGAAATTGTGTGTGCTGATTGCCCTGCTTTGGCTCCTGCACACATGTCAATTTGTTTCTCTACATGGTCATTCGTGATGTTCATTGCTGCTGCCGCCATTTTAGCTCTTGCAGAAGGAAGAAGCAGACTTCTCGAAAGGAACGATGTGGAGAATTCTGGCACAGAAATAAAAACAAATCGTAACAAAAAAGTTCCATTATATTACAATAAAATTACAATGTCATTATATTTATTCATATCAAAACAATAACAGTTTCTGAAATGTGCAGCATACCCAGGAACAATCAAATTTAAAAAAATATTCTAAGAATTTTTCAGAAGATCTAATGAAATGGATCGATAAAAAATGAAAACAAAGTTTAATTTAAGAAGTGTCAACAACTCATGAAAATGTAATTTAAATAATTAACTCATGAAAATCTTGGACAAGTTCTTGTAGAAAATTTTGAATGAAGGAACACTTTGGAATATGGGCCATGGTTTAAAAACAGGATCACAATGTAATGACGTCATTTCGAGTACTGTACTGAAGAAGAAATGTATCAAAACAGCTCTCTGTGTGTTGGAAAAAATCAGCAACTCTTATCAATACCCGATTGTCGTCGACAACAGTGGCATCTTCAATGCAACGGCAGGATACAACATAATTGAAAATTATGGAATTGAATGTTATCTGTGAGGAATGTGACCTTACATATGTATTAACATTAATTCCAATTACAAAACCTCAGTTCTGGGTATACAAAATGGTTCACCCTGAAAAAAATTGCTTCCAACTCTTAAACTACTCAAGGCTATTGAGAATTAAGACAACCCTCAATAAGACCATGTCCTCACTCTCCAATTGAATCTTCATATCTGCCCCTTTACAAAAATTCGCAACTCATGCTTTTAGACAGAGATATAAGATCAAATCAGGGACCTCATTTCGTATAGAGTCAATTCAAGAGGGCAAAAACATACCGGCGTCTTCCTCATTATATTTGCAACACAAATTCCTTAGCCTGGCAATTTGGCCTCTTAAGAATTATTTCCATAGAAACTGTATTGTATTTCTATTCTCCGATTAAAACAGCAAGTCCTTTCAAGGTCACGCGTTGGTAGGGAGAGGAGGGCGCCGGACACCGGGCGCCGGACACCGGGCGCCGGACACCGA